TTAACAAATCTTCTAAAAAAAAGATTAAAACACAACATGTATTCCACTATATTAAATTTGATGGGACGAATAAAAATTTGTACACGTTTGCTCTAGCATTATCAGTGATGAACCGCCATTACAAGGAAAAGTAGCTTGTTGAAAACCTTATCCTCTTTCAGGGGGACCGGTCCGACACCCTATGTTGTCGGCTCATTCTGTTTTAAATTCAAACACACAAGTGCATGCACACACGTGACACGTGGCAACTTCGTGGGACACCACATCCGCACATTCCACGTTTGCCGCCTCACTTATCCACTTTAATTACTTAATTAATTAATCAATTTTAATTAAATACTACTCCTATCCTTTTTTTTTATGTTGTCCACTTGCTTAGACAATTGGAAATGTGGGTCTCACTTTGTTCATGATAAGAATGCATGATTTTCCATATTTGCTTTACATATATCGGTCCGATATATTAGGGTTTTGGTATGATATACTCTGCTTAGTTCTTAAGGGTTATATAAACTCCCACCAAATTAATTTTAGTATGCATAATTTTTTTTATTATTTTATAATAGTAGAATTTTTTATTTCTGATTTGTTCTAAAATAATAATTTTTTATATTTTAAGAAAGAAAAATATTTTTATTGAAATTTATAATTAATTTTTAATTTTAATTATTTATTTTATTATAAAAAAATCTCTTTATTTTTATTTTTTAAATGATAAATTAAATAAAATAAAAATTGTTCCTAAATTATTAATATCAAGATAAAAATAAAAAAGATCGGCACAAAGGAAGTAATAAAATAGAAATATACCAATTTATTAATAAAAATTTTATTTTATCCATAATTAAGTAGCATTTATGTTCTTTGTCCCAAAATAATTATAGTTTTTTATTTTAAGTTTATTATAAATTAATTGTCACTTTTTTTTTAAGGTAAAGCAATATTTTTTTACTACTTTAATAATATAATTATTCCTTTTATTGATTAATTATTTTATCATAAAAA